AAGCAAATAGGAGATGAATACCACAATGTGGTTGAATCTGAATATTGGCTGTCACAGCGTTCTGTGCTATACTTGGGACTATTTTTGGTGTCTTTATGATATAAAGCAGCCTATGTGTTGTTTCATACCCATTGTAGTCTCTCTGCCTAAGGATGTTTGTTTATTTTCTGCCTTCCACGTGTTGGAATCTTTTCAGTTATATTGTTGAGAACTTGAAATCCTCTTTATCTAGTTTGTCCTTCAGTGTCGTATGTTTGGTTTCCTGTTTGAAAATCTAGACTTATTTTATTGACTTACAGGGTACAGCTTGATTCACTTATGAAGCTTAAATGGCCCTCTTTGAACTGTAAAAGCATTCCATACCCCTTTATACAATTTGCATGGTTGGTCACCTATAGCTAATCAGGCTTCATCTCAGCCTCTTACTGACACAGAGCAAGTTCAGGAAACTATGGCCATTGACAAGGATGGAAGAGCTGGTACTTCAAAAGAAGAGTTGGAGATTATGAGAGAAGATGGGGAGCTTCCAGCTTTAACCCAGCTCCATCTGTCATGAAAGATGGCAAACTTACCACTCAGAAAAGGTCTAACCCTAACCACTCCAAGCAGCTGGCTTTAATTACGAAGAGTATTGTTTCTCCAGTTGGTACAGGAAAATCATCAAGTTTCAAAAAACATGAAGATGACTCAGATCTCATGCTGGAGACTGATAGTGATGTGGATGAGCCTGCAGAAATTGAGGCAGAGGCAGAAAATGCTGCTTTGGCTCAACACTATGAGATAGCCAAAAAATCAGGGGTGGACTATGGGGTCCAGGAATTCTGTCTTGTTTTAACAAGGAAAAGTAGATGATGGTGAGAGGAATTTGAAATTAGAAGCCAAGGTGCCATTAATTGCTCTGTGTCTTGTCCTATGTTTGGTCATGGAATGTGAAAACTTGACGAGTTCTACTGTTGCAGGTTCTGATCAGCATGGAGTATCCTCTTAGGCTTCCTCTTTTTAAGTGAATATTTGTTCTTCTCCTGGAGAAACTTCTTCTGAGAACAAGGATCGCAACCGGCCCAATGAAATTCATGCTATTGAGGCAGAGGTGAGCTATCAATAACTTGATATGTCAACCAATTAATAAATGCAGGACTTGGAGTGTTCCTTAATGCATGAAGAAAAGTGTTCGAGTATTGTATTTATTCTCATGAGAAAGCTTTGCGATTAGGTGATTGATGTTGGCTCGCTAGTTGAGTTCCACAACTTCATTGATATATTATTTATATACCGTACATGGTTATATTGGATCACATTCTGCTTTTGCCACTTGTAGGTCAATCTTCACATGTTAAAGATGGCTCCCCAAGATCAGGAGACCTATATCGTATCCTGTCAAGTGTACTGTCTTGCAATGCTGTTTGACTATTGCGTGGACAAGGCATCCCCATCTTCTGTAAGGAGGAAATGTAATTCTGTGATTGATGTTGGTCCGTGCAAACCTGTTAGCGGTAGGCTTCTTGCCAGATCATCTAGAGGAAGGGATCGAAGGAAAATGATATCCTGGAAGGACATGGAATGCACTGAAGGCTACCCTTTTTAGTAAAATTTCAAATTGAGGGTATCAGCCTATCAGGGCATTGCCGCCAAATAAAAATCTGTTTGCCGTGGGACCAACTGCTCCACCATTAGATGCAATGGCTTTGATTTCTCTTGGCTGGCCATTTTACAGCGTAAACCCTTCCATTTTATAACATCAAGAAGGAAATTTCAAAGCCATGCCTTCACAAATTCTTCACCGTCTCCCAAATGAATTTTATTGGGATTTTGTAGCATGGCCATATTCAATATATTCATTTATTTACATATTTGTTCATGGATTGAATGCAACAGATCCATACATGAATTGCTTTGTTCAATTAATGGGCGCATTGGTCTGATTATATCAGAATGAATTTGTGCAACCACATGAGTGTCAACTCTCCATAAGCCACCGCCATCACTGACCAGGACAAGTCTCCTGATAGGCAGTCGGAGCAAGTTTTGCTAATAAATAACAGATGTGAGAACTGCTTTATGTGCAGCATAAATACACTGAAATAACTAGTACGAATATTATTTAGGTGAAGCATGATATCCAAAAGAAAAGCAGATAAAAAATAACTGATACTGGAAGACTAATCTACACCGCACCAAAACAAAACAAACTCATCTCTTCAGGCCTACATCAGAACTATGCTCACATTAAATCTGTACGGCCAACTTAGAAACGAGTTTCGTTTCAACCCAAGAATTCATAACACGACCCTAAGTTCTCGCTTTACCATGGACCCGTCTGTGTTCTTCTCAAGCACCGTTTCTTTCCTCCTGGTTGCATGTTCATTTCCATAACCTGGGATGTCACAAAATACAAGAAGATTCAAAGGGTGAATAATTTAGGTTAATTGTTAAAAAGACCTATATGTGAAAAATGCATTATTGATTCAGAATGGAAAAATAGGTGGCTTCTGCCTAGGGGTGCTAACTTGCAAAAATGAGAAAAATTCATTCCCATAGTTGCATCAAAAAGGGATTGGGACATGGATTATCCAAACAATTACTGTTCATAACCTCGATCTCAAAATAGGATTGAGTCATGGATTGAAAATTCTTGATTTCATCTCAAGATTGTAAAACCTAAGTTCATGTATAAACAAATATAAAGGAGATATGTCCTAATTTCTTTCACTCAGTCCTACGACTTGTATTGGACATGAATGTCATGCGTTACTAACATAGATAAAGCAATACTGAAAAGTAACTTCAAAATATCAAGACATGGGAACATGGTGGCATCGTAATATGCTAACTATTTTGATCATATTTGAAGATAGTGAAAACATATACGAGCATTCAACCGTGAGTGAATGCACATTTCTACCATAAGAAAACTATGGATAGCAGAAAATGTCATATAAACCATATCTAGGTCTATGCCCAATTTCCTTCACTATACAGATCCTTGAACTTTGACCACTGTTTTAGGTTGATTAAGAGAAATCATCTTATAATTATCAATAATTTTATCTGGGGACATGAACACCATGTCCCAAGGCATATGAGTGAGACACCAAAATTACATTAGCATTCATGCCTTCCAAGTCATAACTTCCACCCTCCTCCACTAATCCTTCGGATAGGCCCAAAAGAACCACATCTTGGAATTTATCTCAACTTTCCATAGATAGAATTACCTAAATTTTGTTCAAACCCATGCTAGTTTATTGCCATTTATGAATGAAAGCTTTCATTCCTAAGTTCTTACTCTACAGTTTACACAGGTTGCATCCTAACTAAACAACAACCAATTGTACCAAAGAAAAAAAAAAAAAAAAAAAAAAAAAAAAAGAAACAACTACACAACAACCAAAGAGAGATGACTGTCCCACAAGGCAATCTGATGTTGGATGCACAAGCATGACATTGATTTGTGAAAACATGTCAATGTTAACAACAGCAAATTAAAAAGGAAAAAGGAAAAAGGAAAGGGCTGGCACCTGATTTTTCTGCATTTCCATAATTTCAGCCTGAAGCAACAAAAGTAAGCTGATGAGTATGCATATTTGTCATGGCCAATAGTTTTGTGATTGTGTGCAACCTGTATGCTACATGTCTACCAACAAAGAAGAGAGAGAAAATACCTGTCTCTTCCGCAACTCTTGGTTTTCCTCTTTTAACTTTGCAACTTCTGCTTCCAATTCCATTGTATAAGCCTATTGGCATAGCAAAAGAAAGGGGAAAAAATAAGAAGAAACTCCAAGCACTGGGTATTGTGACTAATTGTTAAAGTGAACTTGATTAACTCTTTACCATGGTCATAAGAAAATAGACAAGTTTGAAATATAGACTAATAAAACGTATTCAGCTTATAGATGGAGATAAAGGAGCTTCTATTCTGAAGTATCTAACTACTCAGTCTCACTAGAATGAGTTAGCCACATCATGCTTAAATATCTATAATAAATCAGCGGCAAAGTCACATGCATAACTGCATAAGTGAATAGATCCATATACTCACCTGCTTGCGAGCTCGCGATCTTGCAGCTGATTCTCTATTCTTTATCATTCTTCTTTGCCTCCTCTCAATGGCCTTCTCCAAAACACCGCTCTTCCTCCCCCTCAAACCTCCATTAAATGCATAAGGAACTGGTGACACAGAAGATGTATCACCACTACTCTTTCCAATCCCATCTGAAGATATTTGGCTAGCAGGTGATCCTGTTCCAACACTAAGGGGCCCTCCTAAGCCAATCATACCGATTCCTCCACCCTGCAAAGCACTTCCCTGAATCATACCACTATTTACAACCTGATCCCCAGTCCCAGCAATTCCACCTCTAATTCCTGGATTCCCCAACTGACCACCACTCTGTAAATTCATCTGAGTTGCATAACCTACAGTAGGCTGCTTAGGATACATCTGCTGCTGTTGCTGTTGGTTTTGCTGCTGAGCTAGGGGGTGTTGGTTTGACCTGACCCCGTTAACATTCAAGGGCAAGTTTGATGACTGAATTGCAATCTGATTACCTCCTTCAGTAAACCTGTTCCCCATCAAATTTGGACCCCTACTGCCCTGCTGAAGCCCAATTCCAAAACCAAGATTATTCCCTGAATGCTGCAAGTCACCAAAAAATCCTCCATTATTAAACTTCCCAGGCCCAACCAGCTGAGTTTCCTCTCTCACCACTCCAGCCCTCACCAAAAACTCCTCCAATGTCATCTCCCCAAGAGTCTGCTGCCTCTGTGGCATATTAGACCCTCCAGTTCCAACCCCATCCTTACCTACTACATACTCCTTTGAAATATCTCTCCAAACCGCATCAACCGTCTTCTGGCTCAGCGTCCGGGGCAAGGTTAGAGAGCCCTGCCGCTGCAACCCGCTAGTCCCCTCCTGGGTGCCAAAAGCAGAGGCCATAGTCTGGGTTTCTTCTGCACTCCATATGCTCTTCAGCAACTCATCCATATTCATAGACCCAAAGTCTTTCCCTGATCCGCCCATGGTGCTTTGAAATTCATCAAATGTCAACGAGTAGATCGATTGCTGTCGGGTTAACAACATGTTCCCCAGCGGTTTGCTCCCGCCACCATTCTGCGGGTTGTTGCTACTGAAGCTCTTGAAATCCATATCAGTCCCCATTTCAATGGAATCTGAATAAAACAGTGTCAAATTTTGTTCTAAAAGCTAAAAGATAGTACCAACAAAAATCCTACTCTTCCCCCAGACCAAAAATCTTATCAAACCCTGCCTGTGGTATCAGTTCCCAAATTTAGAATTCAACAAACAGTGAAATCTAGGTCATCAAAATTCAAAATAAAATTTCCCCAAGGAGAAAGCTGAACTCAAAATCTCAACCTAAAAAAAGAAAAATTCCAAATAGAAAAACCCAATTGAAAGATCCCAGCTTTTGAAATCAAACCTTCATACAAACCCCAGATTATACACACTAATTTTCAATAAAAACAAACCCTGAAATCACACAAACAACCCCAAAAAAAAAAAAAAAATTCTTAATCTCCTATTCCCTCTCCAAACAAATTCCGATCAAAGTAACCCATAAAAACCCATACACCCACTAACTTCAACTGAATGCTAAACCCAGTACGGATTGTAAAGCTGATTACCCAAAAAGAAGAATCAAAAAATAAGTATGGGCACGAGCTAAATAAAGGAAGACAGGAGTAAAGGCTACAGGAAGAGATAAATTTTTCTTTCCACCTTTCTTTTTTTAAATATTTTCAGGCAGCAATATTTTTGTTCTTTGTTTTCCTTAGGCAGCGCCGCAGCGTATTTCTCCTCTCCGCCTTCGTCGCGGCTACGTGCTTGACCAGGAGGCGCCAAGTGTCGACTGTCTGTTTCTATTTTTTTTTCACTTTTAAGACATGCAGAGCTTGTTGTTATTTGTAAATTATTTGAGACACTTTTTAATACGGAGTACTATATGGATAGGGGTTGGGGAGGGGGGACAGTTGAGGGGCGATACGTGGACCAATTGAGATTGGGTTTGTGGGGACCATGACGTAATATCTCACCAATAGGAGCCCGCGAAATGGGAGGATCTTATCCGTCCACGTTGCGTGTAAGGAACGGCAAGATGGGGTGATGGTTTTATTTTGGATCGTAGTGGGCGTTGAAGTTGGGGTTGGGCCGTGAAAGCTGCCGAAAGATGATTGGGTAAAGTTATGGTCCCTCAAACTTTCATATGGACTTCTGATTGAGTCCTTTAACTTAAAAAATCTTTGATTTAATCCCTAAAGTTTGGTGTTTTGGGTCCCAACTTGGTTTTTTTGTTAAAAATCCAATGATGTATCCTGTTAACTCACAGGAGTACAATAACATGTCAAAATATTATGACACGTCACTGTACACATGGAAAAAAGATGAATGGGCAAGAAAATTCATCACATTATCGCCTAACACTAAGAAAAAAGAAAAAAAAGGGAGGCCCACCTATGCATAAACTTACAACTTCTCCCCCTTTCTTCCCATTAACCCTAAAAATCTAAGACCAATTGGAAAGAACCCAATACGTCTAAGTTCAATTGAACTCAACACATCTGTGTTTGATAAGACCTAGCAGGCAATGGGTTCAATGGAATCCAACAAGTGATGGGTTCAATGGAACCCAACAGGTGTTGGATTTAATTGAACCCAACAAATTCTTTTAGGCAAAAAATCAAAAAGATTTTTGGCTTTTTGTGAGTTTTATTGTTTAATAATGACGAAGAATAGAACTCCATTTCATTGAATTGATTGTTTAATTCAAAAAAATTGTGATAAAAGTGGACTTGAAGGAGGCAAAGAGAGAGAGAAAAAATAATGAATGAAGAAGATTTGAGAAAGAGGATGTTGGAGTATAAGGGCAAAATTATAATTTTTGATGGATTAGATAATTATATTTGTTTTATTATGTGACAAGGTTTTTTTGTCACATCATTCATTTATCCATACTATCAATCATATGTGTCAAATATTTTTAGACATGTCATTCTTCTTCTGTTGATCAACAGGCCACCTCAGCGAAAATTTCACGGATGGACTAAAAGTTAGCCAAAATACCAAACTTTAAAGACTAAATTAAGGATTTTTTAAGTTAAGAGACTCAATCAGGGGTTTGCACGAAAGTTAAAGGACTAAAATGAGAGTTTAACCTTGGTTAAATATCCGCTGGATAGGTTGGGGTCATAACAGGTAGGTTGGGTTCTTAGCAGGTAGTTTGGGCCTTTGGGGACCAGAACACTTTCCGGATATATATATATATATATATGTTTGCAACATTATTAAATGAAAAATTAAGGTTAAGTTACATTATATAATTAATTTTTATTTAAAAATTTATTCATAAATTAATATTATTTATTTATTTAATAATATATTATACTTACTTAAAACATATTATAATTATAAATTTATAATTTTATGTAATATTGTAACTATAATAATATTACTGTATTTAAATTTTAGTACTTTCTCTATTTTAAAATAATTTTCATTTTTTTAGTTTGAGTTTGTCTTAAATTAATTATTATTTTTTATTGCTTAAGATAAATAAATATTCATTAATTTAACTATATTATTATTTATTTATTTTGATTAATTATCTTATTACAAAAATCTCACTTTATCTTTTAGCTTATTTTTAAGAATAATACAAATAAATACATAAATTATTTCTAAATCTTTAATTTAAAGAAAAAGTAAAAAACCTATAGTTACTTTAAGATAGAATAAATAAATAAATATTACTAAATAGATTGAATAAAATAAAGCAGTACAACTTTGTTTTCCCCAAATTGGCTTGGAAAAGTAGCTATGGATTAATTATAAGCTTGGAAAAGTAGGTATAAATTAATTAAGCTTCCTTCGGTTACAAGTGTGGTGTTATGTTGTGTTAATTATGATTTTTTTTTTGTCTTTTATCATTCTTAAAATATTTTAAATATTATATTAATTAAAATTGATAAATATATACGTTATACAATATAATATTAGTATATATCATTTTCGATTCTCAAAAATAAGTAGAGTTTTAACTTATATTTGAAAATTAAAATCTCATCTTATTAAATGTTGATATTTAAATTTAATAATTCATTATATATTTTAATATATCAATATTTAATAAAATAATTTTTTAATTTTAATTAAATAAAATAACGTAATTTAATATTAAAACTCCAATTAACCTTAAAAGTAAAAGCTGGCATGCATTTTTTTTCATATAATATTAAGTAAATTTAATAAAAAAATCCGAAAATAAATGGAGTGGATTCTTTTCCGTGTCTATATTATAGTAAACAGAATAAATTTTATTTGGGTAACGGTAGCAAAAGGCAGAGAGGAATCCTACAGCGGAGTGTACATGTACTCTGCAATTGAATGGTATAGGATGAATTTTTTTAACTTTTATATTTTAAAAAAATATATAAGACTTGGATAACCCGTTTCGATTAAATGGTATTAGATCTTGAGTTAAGACTGTTCACTCCTTATGAATAACGAGTTCGAATCTCATTCTCCTTCCTCTCGTTAACATGTAAATAATTTTAAATTATTCAAAAAAATAATAATAATAACACTTTGCACAAATTTGGTGCGAGGAAAAAATGCCACGTGCACTGTTTATTGGGATCAATATTTTAGGTAAGGTTGTTTGACAAAAGTACCCTTGTATGTTCTTTATTTAATCATGATTTTTTTCAATGCCGTGTGATTTACGGTTAAAATTATTTTAAAGGTAATTAAGCTGCTTTTGAGTTATGAGTTAGCTTGTATTTCTTAAATTCCGTTTACTTTATAGTTTGGGAAAGCAAACCATTCAAATAAACTTGCAATGAACTAAATATAATAATTGGTCAAGGAACTTGTTTTGTAGTTTGTACGCTCAGCTCGTAGTAAAGCAGGAGATAAGGTCACTTAACTCCCCTAGGCATGATATGGCCAATCAAACTCGCTCCTCCATCACCAAAACAGGCAAAAAAAATAAAAAAATAAAAAAAAATTAAAGGTTGGAATTTCCAAAAAAGTCTCTAACACATGTAAATATTATGGACAATGATTAGTATATATTTTGATTCAATATACTGTATGATACACTTATTAAAAAATTATTATTATTTAGTTTAAAATTAAAGACAAACAAATTTAATAATACACTTATACACTCATAATATAAAAACTGGTTAAATTGATTGTATTTATATTATATTTTTAGTGATTAAACCGAGAGTGTGTCAAAAAAATATGTTGAATCGAGGGTGTACCAATTATTTTTTAAATATTATATGCACAAAAATGTACTTTATTGTTTAGACAATAAAATATTAACAATTAAATAATAAAAAAATTTATTTATGTAGGTTCCTTCATTTAGTGGTTAATATATAGTAATTGCAAAATATTAATTAAACTTATTTATACAATAAAAACAATCTTATTACCAACCATGTGAATGTCTCAAGATTAATGGTTGTCTGGGCAGTTTCGTAATCTAACACTGTTGAAATTCTCAACTGCTTCTACACCTGAAAATCTCGAGGATGTTTCCTCAGGGAAAACACTCTAACGTTCAAGTCAGCAATACTCAATACTCTAAAGAGAGATGCTCTCAAGGAGTAATTGCAGAGAGAGAAACATAAAGATTAATTACCTTCATCGGTGGTAGTTGGGGGGTATTTATAGCCCCAAATGCTGACATGCATCAGTACATGTAAGCACCTCATTGACCTACGTGTTGCTGCTCACGTGGGTATGTCTCTTCCTCTTGGACCTATGGGTGTATAGTTGAGCCTGCTACGTGTGGCCCAAAGTGGGTGTTGAGCCCCAAAGTGGGTGTTGAGCCTAATCCCAACAATGACAATCTTTTTTTTATTCCTGAGATGATTCATAATTTATGGTAGATGTTTTTGGGTGAAGTGTTTTAAGGTGGTATGGTGGTATATGTTGATTACGTGCACTAAACTAGGCACACATTTTTCATAGAAAATTTCTTTTGTGCAAATAAAAAGTTGGTATGTAATTTGAGGTTTTTTTTTTTTTTTTTTTTAGTTCCATTTCAAAGGTTTTCCTTTCCATAACATGTTGGGATTTATAATATTATGACAAAGTTTTTTTGATAAGATGTTCTTAAATATACAGGGCTGTCAATTTTTAATTAAATGAGAATTTCACTTGAAAACCTACACTGAATTATACAAATTACCTAAATATTTTCTTATAAAAAAAAAAAAAAAGATATCCTAGTTAAGTACAAGTAATTAGGAATATTAGACACGACTTTATTTTCCTCTAATTACATTTTTAAACATAATTTTTTTTCTTTATTTTTCTTGAGATCGTTTTTCTTTTTCTATTATCAGTAATTTCCATATCAGTCGTCAGAGGAACATATATAAAAGCAATAGACCTAAACGGTGCAATTTTTTTTCTTTCTTTTAAGCTAGGTTTGTCTAATATAAACACTAAGAATATAAGAAATATTTTTTTTATTATAAATGTGTGTTAAAAAATAAAATTTAATATTTAATTCATTAACCTTTTAATTAAATTTATTTATTTGATAATAATATTAAATTAATATCAAATTTTATATTTATATATATTTATAATAAAAAGTTATGTTTAATATGTGTTATAAAGATACATATTAAAAAAATTTTAATTTTAAAAATCAAGTATTTT